TTGGTAGTGTTTCTATCTTCTCTATACTCGTCCTCAACTCTTCCCTCCTTCTCGAACCACCCAGGGAAAATAAATAAAAAGAAAAACCTTCTTGCCAGTATAAAGAGATTAACTAGAAGACAACATGAGAACTTTAAACACAAGGTTAATACATATGGTGTCTGATTGTTTTCTCTGACTAATCATAAGTCATATCTATTTTGCAGTTTGGCTACTCTTTGTTGTTGCTGTTTGTTGGAGCAGTGCTGCAGCTGCTTATAATTGGCTGGATGCCATGAACCTAAATATCAAGAGTGTTATGTCTCAAATATTTGCTGAGTTAATGGAGCTTATTTATTGTAAATTTGGAGGACTCCTTGCTTAGATATATTTTAACATATGTGTGTTGAAGCTGCTTTATTATGTCCTTACTGCAGCTATAATGATATTAATGTGAGGAATCTATCTGCATCAGTGTGGTAGTACTTTAACATAGAAAGTAATTTCATAGATTGGTAATTGCTGAATTCTATACCAAGTTGCTGGGATTACAAAGTATATTGTACTTCCCCTCGCACATTTGAACGTTTATATATATGTATATGGGAAAAATCTTTTTGGCTAGAAAATTTGGCCAAAATGATATTTTTTTCTATGTTATTTTACCTTTTAAAACATTTTTACTCTTTTTAACTTTAATACCTTTTAATTAAAAAATGGAAAAAAGATTAGTTTATTTTAAAATAAAAAAGATATAAACTTTTTAAATTTCTGGCCAAATTTTCTAGTCATTTAGCATTACCCGAACATGTTCATGTGTAGGGACCCTTTCTTACAAGTAGGTTCCAGAAGATTTAGAAATTATGTCATTTCCTCTCCTTTCTCCAAATTGTTGGTCCAGAAAGATCTTTCGAAAACCGCTAAATCAATAAATCAATAACTTTTTTTTTCGTTTCGATTTTGAACAACCCTAACTATAAGCAGATGTCCAATGACATTTAAATTAGGGAAAAGGGTCTGATATACCCCTCAACTTTGTCATTTAGAGCTGATATATCTCTCGTTATGAAAGTGACTGATATATACCCCTACTTATATACAAATGACTCACATATACCCTTTCCCTCTAACGGAAATGAAAAAAATAATAATTTTAGTTTCATTTTTTATTATTTTTAAAAAAAAATTATAATCCCATACGGGTATATTTAATCTTCCTCAAACATATTTTTTTTGACTTTTTTTTTGTTAGAATGACTAATTTAGATTTATTATTTTGATGGTCAAATTTATTTATGTTTCACTAATATTCTTGTAAAACTTATTATAGATGGCCAATTTTTTTTCTTCAAATACAAAAATTAAATTACAATATAAACCAAAAAAAATAGTTTTAAATTATAATATAGCCACAAAAAAATAGTTTTAAATGTTTTTCTTTACACTAAGGAATGAAAGAAAAAAATAAAATAAGAATAAGAAACTAAAATAATGAAAATCAAAGAAGTCAAAAAATAATTTATGTATGAAAAATATTGAAATATACCTTGAAATTTGCTAGAAGAATCCTATATACCCCTAAATGATTTTTAAAAAAATTATAAGTTTAAAATTAATTTTTTCCCTCCCGTTAAATGAAGGGTATATGTGAGCTCATTTTATAACGGTAGGGTATATGTGAGCCGTTTGTATAATGGTAAGGGTATATATAAGCTACTTTCATAACGAGGGACATATCAACTCCAAATAGCAAAGTTGAGGGGTATATCAGACTCTTTTCCCTTTAAATTATTATCTTAAAACATTTTTTCAATATTCATTTGTGCTATTTTTATTTTTTAAAAGGGAGTGAGTAATCAAATCCTCAATAATAGGTGAAAGTTCTGATGCTCAACCAATTGTGTTGTTAAGTTTTCCCTTCAACAATGCTATCAACTTAGTAAGTGGACATGGTGTAACAACCTGTTTCCGTCGTTATAGAAAAGCCAACGGAAATTTTTTTTGGGCCGGAAAACTTTTTCGTAGTAACTTGGAATTTCCCAACCTAGTCCAGATTTGGACGAAATCGGAGTTAGTAAGGTCTAGGGAAATCTGGTAACAATTGAGTGATCTAAATATGATTTTGATCACATGAGTAGATACCTAAGACGTTAAGGAACTCGTACGACTTTACAGAATTGAATTCGGGTGAATAGAACTCCCAAAATTGAGCTTAGAGTGAGCGGGTATTTTCTCAGTATAATGGGATGAAGGTGTGTTGTGAAATGAGGGTTTGGGAATTCTTAAATTTGCTCACTGTTTTCGTGCAAGCCTCTAAGGCGGGATTTTCCCACTAGGGCAGGACCGCTGTAGCGGGGTAAGGACCGTTGTGGCGGGACAACCCGACTTAAGTCAGAAATAAACCACAAAAACATTTTATTCTGCACTTTTTGACTTTGAGAGCTAGGAGACGATCACAGGTGTTTTCTTGACAGTTTTCCACCATTTTGAAGGCTAAAGGTAAGGTTTTAACTCCCCAAATCCATTTTTCGATCCGTAGAACTTAGATTCTTGGGTGATTATTGTTGGGGAATTTGGAACTATTTGGATAGTGGGGAAAAGCCCTAATTTGGATATTGGGATCATGGGGTTGATCTAGGGTTGATAGTGTTGATTTTAATCCAAGTAATTAGACATCATTTATTGATTCTTGAGTTATATGGATTGTTTGTAGACCAAGAACAAGCGGAAAGAATTCGGAAAGGGAAGAATCAAGTTTCTTAGGGGATTCAAGCTTTGTTCGAGGTAGGTGATGGTTGTGATTTCATGTTGTGTGATATATGTTTGTTCTTGCTTCATTATGATGTATGTATGCATGCGAATGTTGCATTATTGATCACACAAATCGTAAATGAGGATAGTTGAATGATTGAATGCTATGAATCATGACTTGATTGTATGATTATGAGAATGTGATTATGATTGTGGCTTGTTGAACAGATCGGGTGTTACGTTCCGACACACTAACTAGGATCGGTTGCCAAGTACCGAAATAAATATTGGAACAGGTGTCACGATCCGACACGCTAACTTGGAATAGGTACCACGTACCGGTACACTAACAATTTGAGTGTGGGTTCCATGAGAGGACCATTGACTTGACATAAATGTGTAATTGAGAATTGTGAACTTGATCGTTATTCGTAAATAATATTGATATTGTATATGTTCGGTGTATGCATGTTAATATTATGTTGTAATGGCTTATGTATGTTGCACTTATTGGAAAAGTCATGTGATCTTACCAGTACACTGTGGTTGTGTATTGATACTGCACTTGCTCTTTCTTTGTTGAGTACAGGGCATCTTCCGGCGGCTATTGACAGACCTCACTTAGAAGATCAGTGATCGTCATCGAATTCAAGGGTGAGCCAGTTCTTCCGGGCTGTCATGAGTTCTCTTTCGTTTATGTCCCCATTTCGAACTTAGACTATTGCATTAGGATTTCTTATGTTTAGTTGGGTTGTACCCATTTTCTTAGACTTGTTGAACTTTAGATGTTTTGGTACATTGACTTTCAAGTTCTAGGTATTATTCTGGATTTGTTTTGATTAGACTTTGGTTTGGAGTTTATGGGAACTCCCTGTTTCTTATTCTTAACATGTAAACATGCTTCTGTAACTTTAAATGACTTAGTTTTGGTTGAGTTTATTAGTTTGGGTTGTAGTAATGGTTCTCCCACCGGAGGACTAGTGTGGGTGTCATTCACGACGGTCTGGTCGTGTGACACATGGAAGCATAAAAAGAGTGAATTTTATCATATGTTATGGACAAAAGTGTTGAAGTTTGTTTTTTAGTTACTGTAATAGTTTTTTAGAATAATAAGTTGTCTAATTTAAAATAAATTTGAAATTTGAATTTTAGTTTCGTTGTTTAAGTTATTGAGATATTTTAGATTTTTTTTTAATTTTAAGATTATGCAAATCATGGATTTTATGTTGGCTATTTGATGCGCGCGCCTAAATGCTTAATAAAATCACTGAAAGCTTGTACTACCCCATTTTAAAAAATAAAATAAAAACACCATCAGTGGTATCAAGAGCTTCATTAGTCTTACGAGATCTGTGAAATCTTCCAAAGAACTACCATACCATTTTTAACCTGTAAGGGCTACCCTTTTAATCCGTTAATGCGATCCATTTTAACCCGTCTGGGCTACTACTTTCGACTCGTGCTTTTTTCAAAGCATAAGCTTTTCTAAACCAATTTGTAACCAAACATAATGGCAAACAACAGTCTCTCTTTGAATGCCCCAAAAATTTTCGCAGACAAAAACTATCAAATTGTCTATGAGAAAAAAAAATCATATTTTGAAACCTATGTGATATGTGATGGAACAAAAATCCTTACAACCTCTCCTGCAAATCCTACAAAAGTTCAGATTAAAACACTTTCAAATAAACTTCTACACAAGACAATTGTTGGAGAAAAAGTACAGAGAAATAAAAAAAAAAAAAAGAAGGAAAACTGCGACTACGTTTAATTTCAGATTAATTGAAAGTACAGAAATAACAAAATATGCCCACATGATATATAGGTTAAGAGATAAACAACTAATCCTAAAATATAGGTCATGTAACCCACTAAGACACTTAATCAGCAACACTAATGAAACTTGAGTAAATATAGGAAACTACTTAACAAAGACCCAAAGACTAGTTCTACTAAACTACCCATGTCCCAATTCAGTCAATCGTTTTGAATCACTCTTTAACATTCCCTCTTGATTCAAAACTACAGACACCAAACAATCCTCTGAAATAGCAGAATTTCTCCTTCGATAAAGCCTTTGTCAATACATCAGCCAACTGCTCTTGTGTGCTGCAATATTCCAATAATATTTCCTCCTTTGCTACCAAATCACGGATAAAATGATAACGGATATCAATATGCTTTGTCCTGCTGTGGAATGTTGGGTTCTTTGTCATGGAGATAGTTGTTTTATTGTCGCAAAATATCTCTGTTGCTCCTCTCTGCTCCAGTTAAAGATCTGCTAACACTCTCCTTAGCCAGATAGCTTGACAAGCTGCTGAAGTTGCTGCAATGTACTCAGCTTCTGAAGTTGACAATGATGTTGTATCTTGCTTCTTTGAACTCCAAGTCACCACACCTGAACCTAGAGTGAAAACATTCGCCGAAACACTCCGTCTATCGTCCAATGAACTTGCCCAATCACTATTTGTGTACCCGCACAATATGAAGTTATCAGTTTTGGAGTACCAAATACCAAAGTCCAAAGTTCCAGCAATGTACCGCAAGACTTTTTTTGCTGCCCCATAGTATACCTTTAAAGGTTGTTGCATAAACCTAGAAATAACACCAACATGATATTCAATATCGGGTCTAGTATGCGTCAAATATATCAGACCTCCAACCAAGCTTCTGAACCTCTTTGCATCTGTCAATTCTTCTTCATTTACCTGTTGCAATTTCTCACTGATATTCATTGGAGTAGCCACAGGCTTGCAATTAAGCATGCCAAATTTATTAAGTAGGTCTCTAGCATATTTCCTTTGTGAAAGAAATATTCCCTCTTCAGTTTGATGGAATTGAAGGCCAAGAAAGTAATGTAATAAACCCATATTTGACGTCTCAAACTCATTCATCATTTGAGACTTAAACTCTTCCAGAAGAGAACTCGAAGAACCAGTGTAAATGATATCATCAACATAAATGCATACAATAATGAAATCATTACCTTCCTTCTTCATATATAAGGTGGGTTCGTTCTCACTTCTTATGTATCCATTTTTGTGGAAGTATCCATCAATCTTGCTATACCACGCTCAAGGGGCTTGCTTCAAGCCATACAATACCTTTTTCAGCTTGTACACCTTTGTTTCATCGCCTTCCTTTGTGAAACCTTCAGGTTGTGTGACATAGACTTCTCTTGTAAGTCTCCATTGAGGAATGCCGACTTGACATCAAATTGATAAACTGCCCATTGCAACTGTGCTGCCAATGCTAGAACCAACCTCACTGTCTCAAATCGAGCTATTGGAGAAAATGTTTCTTCAAAATCAACACCATATTGTTGTGCATACCCCTTTTGCCACAAGACGAACTTTGTGCTTTTGTAGGCTACCATCAGCTGCAAACTTTGTTTTGAACACCTACTTCAATCCAATTGCATTTTTTCTGTTTGGTAATTCCATAATTTCCCATGTTCCATTCTTTTCGATGGATTTCATTTCTTCCACCATTGCTTTCTTCCATTCTTCTTTCTAGCAGTTTCTTCATAATTCATGGGATCTGAAACAATAAGAGCAAACTGACAAGACGTATAAAGGTTATTAGCATACTTGGGATTTGAATTTTTAAGCCTTGTTGATCTTCTTAATGGAATAATCTCATCTGAAGACTCTTCATGAGTTGTTGCAATTGGCGAGCTTTGTGACACCACATAAGAACCTGAAAGTGTACTTGAAGGGGTTGACTTTTTTCCTTCATCTTCAGTGATTCCAAGAGGCATATGAGGCTCTTGTTGCACCAATTTTTCACTCCAATCCCAACTTGCATTTTCATCAAATATTACATCTCTTCTAATTGAGATCTTACCATTAAAAGGGTTATACAATCTATATGCTTTAGAGTGAGTACAATAGCCTACAAAAATGCATTTTTCAGATTTTTCATCAAGCTTTAGACGAGCTTGTGAACTTACCAAAGCATAAGAAACACACCCAAAAACTCGTAAATGACTTACATTTAGTTTCCTACAATGTCAAGCTTCATAAGGAGTTTTATTCATAACAACTTTTGTTGGTGAAAGATTCAGCAAGTAAATAGATGCAGCCACAACTTCTGCCCAGAACTGATTTGCGAGTTCCTTTGCTTGCAACATGCTCCTTGCCATTTCCACCATAATTTGATTCTTCCGTTCAGCGACACCATTTTGCTCTGGGGTATAAGGAGTTGTTAACTCCCTATGGATGCCATTTTTTTCACAAAACAAATGAATTCATTGGACACGAACTCTCCTCCTCTATCTGTGCGAAGAACAGTGATACTACAACTACTTTGGTTCTCTACCAAAGCTTTAAACACCTGAAACTTTTCAAAAGTTTCTGACTTGTTTTCCAGAAAATACACCCAACTCATGCTACTATAATCGTCAGTAAACAACAAGAAATAACGACTTCCACCTAAGGACTTAGTCTGCATAGGACCACATAAGTCAGCATGTATTAATTCTAAACATTTAGAAGCTCTCCATGCCTTTCCAACAGGAAAAGATTTCCTGATTTGTTTCCCATAAATGCACCCTTCACATAAATCAAAAGAATTAATTTTTGGTAGTCCAAGAACCATACCTTTATCACCTAGCAATTTAAGGTCGTTTATGTTGAGATAGCCGTACCTCAAATGCCACAACTTTGAGTCATCCTTTGCACTTGCAGCAAGGGAAAAATTTTCCATATCAGAAACATCCAGCAGAAACATCTTATTTGGCGTCATGGTGATATGAACCTTTTTGCCAGACTTCTTACTTGTAATGACACAAGCATCATCATCAAACCAAAAAGAATATCCATTGGTCATTAGTTGCCCAACACTCAACAAATTATATCCTAAATCGGGTACAAATTGAAAATTATCTATCATATTTACTTTGCCTTTATTAATGTCAATGCTTACCATGTCTTTTCCTTCTACCAGTAACTTTTTTGTATTGCCAAGCTGCACCTTTTTCTTTTTCTTCTCGTCAAGCTCATGGAACAAAGATTTGATACCTGTTATATGATTTGAACAACCACTGTCTACAAACCATAGATCACTTGGCTTATGGTCTGTATTAGTGCAAGCCATAAAAACATAATTCTCTTCCTCGTTTTCTATTGCTGCAAAATTTATTTTCTGATCTTTATACCAGCAATCAGCCCTTATATGTCTGTAACACTGACAGTGATGACATTGAATGCCATTTTTTGTGTTACCTTGCTCATTGGACTACCTGTATCCATCATTTCTTCCTCTGCCCCTTCCATAGCCACAACCCCGACCACCGTGAAAGCCTTGTCTTCCTCGACCTCTGCTTGCTGGACCATTATTTTCTCCATATTTGGTGGCTGAATATTTAACTTGGAATGCCTTCTCTTCATTCTTTTCTGTGGATATTAATTCTCGCCTCATGAGCTTGAAGAGATTCCATCAGTTCATCAAAGAAAAAGACGGATAGATCCTTGGATTCTTCTATCGCAACAACCACGTGATCAAACTTTGGAGTTAGGCTTCGCAATACCTTTTCCACAATGGTCTGATCAATTACCTTCTCTTCGTAGGATCACATTTGACTGACAATTGTCGTTGTTCTTGACGAAAAACCAGTAATGGATTCTCCACTTTTCATCATCAAGGTTTCAAAATCACGCCGAACTGATTGCAGTCTCACCACAATGACCTTTGAATTGCCTTGAACTCTTTCTGGAGAATCGTCCAGGCTTGTTTGGATGTGGTTGTTGTTGCTATCCGCGAAAAGACACTATCATGAACAACCTGCTGAATAAAAATAAGCGCTTTAGCATCTTTTTGCTTGTTGCTTCACAATTTGTTTCCTTCGCCGGGATCTGCAAATCCACATTCTACCAAGTCCCAAAGATCTTGAGATTTGAGTATAGTTTTCATACGGATACTCCAAAATTCGCAGCTTTCTCCTTTGAAGACAGGAATGAGTGGTTGTGTCACACTCAATGCACTATTGCTACTTGCCATGATTGGCTCTGATGCCAAATTTGTTGGAGAAAAAGTACAGAGAAATCTGGAAATAATAAAAAAGAGAAGGAAACTGCGACTGCGTTTAATTTCAGATTAATTGGAAGTACAGAAATAACAAAATATGCCCACATGATATATAGGCTAAGAGATAAACAACTAATCCTAAAATATAGGTCCTGTAACCCACTATGACACTTAATCAACAACACTGAAACTTGAGTAAATATAGGAAACTACTTAACAAAGACCCAAAGACTAGTTGTACTAAACTACCCATGTCCCAATTCAGTCAATCGTTTTGAATCACTCTTTAACAACAATGTCATGGACGGTATTTTTTAAGCACAAGATAAAAAAAAAGATTTTTTTTTTTGCAAGTTCAAAATCAATGAAAAGAATCGAGCATCAACTATCAAAGCAGAAATTGAGGAGGAGCATTTTTCAATTGCAGTAACTAAAGCTAAAGAGGAGTGTTGAAGTTTGCTTTTAGTTATTGCAGTAGTTTTTAATAAAATAATTTGTCTAATTTAAGAAAAATTTGAAATTTGAATTTTAGTTAGGTTGTTTTAGTTATTGAGATATCTTAGGATTTTTTGAATTTTAAATTATACAGATTATGTATTTTATGTTGGCTATTTAAAGCCACTAAATACTTAAGAAAATCATTGAAAGCTATTGAAGGTCATTTTAATCCATTGAGAGACACTTTCAATCTTTTTATGTTGTCCCATTTTTTAAAAAAAAAACAACAAGAGTGCTTTAAGAAAAATGTAAATGAGCTATGGACAGAAACCAAGGAACTAAGAAAGGAAGTAAAAATAAAATTTACCATATTCTTCTATATGTCTAGTAGATGAGCTAGCTATCAACTACAGTATGTATGTGACCCATTTATGTATTTTGCTAATTATAATTATATTGATATGAATTGATTTCACAAAAAAATCTCACTCAATCGGAGAATAACATTATCGTTGATTCATTTAATTGATTCTTCTCATTATTTATTCCTTTTTGCAAATTACTTCGTAGTATAACTTTGAAGTATAGACTCCCTTGACTCAATTTTACTTGTTATATTTGTCTATTAAGAAAATAATAATTGAGATGGTTATTTTACCACATTAATTCTATTAATTATTATTTATTGAAATATAAATTGAGGAAGTAATCAATGCTAAGGATAAAATATGAATTACTAATTTTTATATTTACTTGATATTTTAATAGTGATAAATAAATATATAATTTTTTTAAAAAAATAATGAACAAGTAAAAATAAACAGAATAGTAATTAACTATACCCTAATACATTAAGGGCCTGAAAAGCCATTATGGTGATTGAATTTGGTGTAATTATATTGTCTGGCATGTTTGGTTGGTCATGTAATTACTTGGTTAGCAGATAATAAGATGCAATTGGTAGAGGGTAACTACACTCTCAAATTCTCAGGACAGGGCTGTGAATTGCTGGTATCTCATGACCTATGAGTGAGTTGTTCAGTTAATACGACAGATCAAGTGGACCAGGATCCAGTTGATATGCATTATTAGTAGCCATAAAAGAAATACTTATACACAAGTGAATATTTGTAAAATATGAACAAAACTAACAAAAGTACAACTATAAACTTTCCTCAAATGCTTTACCATAAACATAAACTTCAATCATATCAATTAATTAAAATATAAGATTTGCTATAAAAGTCGCAACCTTGAGGAAATTAAATACTACTCAAATAATTTCAACATCATATAATTTCATATCTTCATAAAAAGGAAAAAAACAGAAACTAAAATTTCAAGTTTTTTTTAACAAAAAGGAAAACAACATATTCAACAAATCTAAGATAAACTATACTGGTGTATGACAAAAATACCTCAATCGCAAAAAAAAAAATAATCTTCGCTTTCAAAGCTTTTTGACACTTTTTTGTAAGCAAAACTGCCAATGTCCTTCAATTTTTTGAAAGTTTCACCTCAAATCTCTTGTATTGTGTCTAATCTTCAATAGTCAAACAAAACTTTCAAACCTCTTGTATAGAAGAACAAAAGAGTTTTAAATCGAGTGAAGATTATGTGTCAATTCTGCAAAAGCAAGAGGATAGAATTTTGTTTATGGTCATAGTTGCCACCTTGGAGGTGGGTTAGGAGGAAGAAAAAGGATTTTTAGGCTTATGTGAATCTGCAGATTTTTCTCGCTCAGTTAATATAATTAAATGGATTTTTGTTCTATTATAGGATTAATGGTGTGTTTGGTATGAAGGAAAATGTTTTCCATGGAAAATGTTTTCTTGGAAAATAAGTTGATTTTTGACTTATTTTCTCATGTTTGGTTGGTGAGTATAAAAAAATTTTCGGAAAAGATTTTTTGTGTTTGATTTATGAATGAAAAATGTTTTTGAATTTTTTTTTTTTTTTTTGCTAGAGTAGAAAATAATTTTTGAAATTGAAAATATTTTTTAAAGACAAACTTAATTTTTTTTTGGGGTGGGGGCTGGTAGGGGGGGGGGGATCGAGGGTAGGGGTGAAAAATTGAAAGTTTGAAGTTAAAAATATTTTTTTTAAAAAAAAAACTTAAATTTTTTTTTGGGGGGTGGGGGGGCTGGTAGGGCGTGGGTAGGGGTCAAAAAATGAAATTTTAAAGTTCAAAATATTTTTTAAAAACAAACTTAAATTTTTTTTGGGGGGTGGAGGGGCTGGTAGGGGTTGGGTGGGTGGGGGATCGAGGGTAGAGGTGAAAAAATGAAATTTTGAAGTCGGAAATATTTTTTAAAAACAAACTTAAAATTTTTTTTTGGGGGGGGGGGGGGGGGGGGCTGGTAGGGAGTGGGTGGGTGGAGAGGTCGAGGGTAGGGGTGAAAAAATGAAATTTTGAAGTCGAAAATATTTTTTAAAAACAAAACTTAAATTTTTTTTTTGGGAGGTGGGGGGGGGGGGGGGGTCGAGGGTAGAGGCGAAAAAAATGAAATTTTAAAGTCGAAAATATTTTTTAAAAACAAACTTAAATTTTTTTTTGGGGAGTGGAGGGGCTGGTAGGGGGTGGGTGGGGAATGGGTAGGGGGGTCGAAGGTAAGGGTGAAAAAATGAAATAATATTTTTTAAAAACAAACTTAAGTTTTTTTCTTTTTGAAGGGGGTTGGGGGCTGATAGGGGCTGAGGGGGGGAGGGGGGCGAGGGTAGGGGGTGGGGGTGTAAAAAATAAAAAATTGAAATTAGAAATATCTTTTAAAAACAACTTTTAATATATTTTTGGGAGGGGTGGTGGTAGGGGGTGAGGGTAGGGTGAGGGTGGGGTAAAAATATTGAATTTAAAAACAAACTTTAAATTTTTATTTTTTTGGGGGGTGGGTGGTGGTTGGGGGGTTGGTTTGAGTGTAGGGACAAAATAAATTGATTTTTTCAACAATTTTTTTTAAAATTGGAAGTTGGAAGAGAGTTTGGAAAATGTTTTCCTTAAGTTTTGAAGGGAAGTCATTTTCCTTAAATTTGAGGAAAATGAGTTGATTTGAAAAACATTTAACCCAACCAAACATGAGAAAATTGGAAAACATTTTCCGAAAAATGTTTTCCTTCATACCAAACACACCCTAAATGACAGAGTTGTAGTACAGGCGTACAACTTATGCTTAAAACTATATTCTCCACAACGTATTATATTTAAAATGTTATTCACAGTTACGTATTATTATCAAACGCCGTTAATCTTTTTTCTATTATATTTTTTAAATAAAAGCATAAAACGTTATTGTGAATCATAGGTTTACTAGTTTTGTAAAAAAATTTAAAACCATACTATTTTGATTAATTGATTTAAACAATGACTTATTTGGGTAAAAAGTTCCAAGATACAGTGAAAACACATAAAGGGGGAAAATGCCATTAGCCCGTGACATTCACCACAATCTAATGGTTTCATCTAGTGAAATGATATAAAGCCGATGGGAAATGGTTTCAGATAGTGATTTGATATAAAATCGATGGAGATGGTTCCAAATAGTAATATTGAGCCGATGGGAAATGGTTCCGACAAAGGTTTGATCATTGTGATTTGATGTATTTTGATGGTCATGTTTGACTTGCTTGTTAACTGTGATTGATGCACTTGTTACGTGTGATTGATCTACTTGACATTGAGATTGACTTACTTGATTTGTGTTGGTTGTTGAGTTGTGACTATTGAACTGTGATTATTGAGTCTTGTAGAACTGTGAGCTTTGTATTGTAGAACTTTTAGGTTGAGCTGATTTCTGTGCAGGTTGTAGTTTGAGGAGGTTCTGTTGGGATGAAAAAGGAGTATTCATTTTCTAGCTAGGTTGCTTCCTTTATTAGATTGCTTGCTGGGTACCGTGTTGTTGGTACTCACTCCTAGCTTCTAGTACACTTGTGTAGGTTCAGAGCCCGGTATAGCGTGATTGCTCTTCTCTCCTATCTCTGAGGCTTGTTAGAGAAATGTTGAGAGATAGCTACTTGTCATCTCGGCAGACCCTCTAGTTCTTCTTTTATGCTTTGTTCGATTTGAGAATCAAAGACTTGAGACTTGTACTTATTTCTTAATTTCCGCACTTTATGTTTTAGTGACTTGTACACGTGACAATCAGGTTTTGGGGTGTTAATAGCATGAATAAGTTTTTCCACTTTTATTTTGTTCTTGCTTTATCTTTCCTCTTTTCCTTTCGTTTCGTTGGGTTGAGGTTGACTTGTCTTGGTGGAAAATGCAAGTGCCATCACATCCTTTTTGGATCATGACAACAAAGCTCCGATACCATGTAAGGATTTTATGAATTCAATAAAACTCAATTGTATTTCACGGAAGAGTTATTCCTCAATATATAGAGATGCTACACAAAGGTGTAGTTGGATACAAACTCTCCAAGAGATAAATTAAATGAACAATATGACTTCTAATTGATTACAACTACTACAACCACATATTGTTATGTTGTCCTAACAATGACTAATGCAAGCAATAGTTATATATAGGATAAAAACGTGTATCAAATAAAGTACTAATAATGTACAAAACTAATGTATAAATTTTTTTTTCCTAATACATCCTACCAAATGACCCCTTAGAGTTTATAGGTATTATTTTTTTCTAATACATTCTACCAAATGACCCCTAAGAGTTTATCGGTAAAATTAATGTAAGTGATTTTCTTGGATAAAATTTGGGGAGAATTTATGTGTTTTCATGTCGGAAATAAGATATTTTACCTTTTGGACTTTAAAGCTTGTCATTTTGGCAAGATAGAGTGCAAAACACATAAAGGGTGCAAATGCCATTAGCCCGTGACATTCTCCACAATCTACTAGGTTTACTTACATCCTTTCTTTTATTTAAAAGTAAGCTCTACCAAAATAGACCAAGACCAAAACCAAGGTTTCTTATTTTCCTCGTGGTCGTACTCCCGACAGACAGCTTAAAACACGCGACTCTCCTCTTTTTGCCTTTTATATATATAGAACTTAGCTTTGGCATTCACCTAATAAAAGTAGTACACCCACTGATAACTCTCTATTTATAGACAATAAAGGGTAAATAAATGATTTATTGTGCTTTACTTCAAATATCATAACCCTTTGGAAATGACACAATCAATCCAAAAGGTCGTAATCTTTCAAAAAAATTATAACTTTTCATAAAAGTCATAACTCTTCATAAATATCACAATTTTTTTATTAAAATCACAAATTTTCATATATTTTAAAACCCAACAACCTTTTCACTCCTATCCGCTCCATTTATATATATATATATATATATAGAGCTTAGCTTTTGGCATTCACCTAAAAGTAGTACACTCACAAGAAAATCATTTTCGGTTGCCAAAAGAATGACTAGATCCGCGGAGGAACTTGATTTTTTCGGTATGGAGAAAGAAGCTACTGCTACTAAACTTGTTGAAAGAAGAAGAAGCTTTCGAGGTCTTATTATTATGCACCTTTCACTGCTCTACCGTACCACTTTTTTTTTTTCTCATGTCCTAGCTAGTTCTATAAATTGAAGTTTAATAATATTGCAGATATCCAAACCATGATTTCGAAGATCAATCCTGAGGTTCTGAAGAATGTTATTGCTTCTCGCTCTGCAGAGAAGAAAAATATTTATCCAATAGCTCCGTCGTCTGAGGGCTCCTTTTCACTTTCAACGTCGTCGTTGCCTCTTCTTGCTAATTGCAACATAGAAAACGATCCTGAAAATTCTCCTTTAACTATATTCTATAATGGTATTGTTGCTGTTTTTGACGTTAGTAAAGACAAGGTTTGTTCATCTAATCAAAATCAAAAATAAGTTTTTTGAGATGATGATAAGTGAAATCGAATTCTTTTTGCTTTTGAGTTTGGCTTAATTTATTGTTTTTTTTTGGGTGTAGGCGGAGAATATTCTTAGACTTGCACAAGGAGGCAATCAACAGTTATTATTGAAGACTTCACAAGTAGATGGAGGTGAACTTTACTAATATATTCTCTTTTAATTACTTTTCTATCATTTCTCATTTAATTACTCAATTTATTTTTTTGAAGAGAAATGGTTTTACCATTTCAATTATTTTTGATGAGTGTGGTTGTTATTGCATGTATATAGATCTACCCATAACAAGAAAGAAGTCACTGGAAAGGTTCTTTGAGAAGCGAAAAGAGAGGTTCGTTCATTTTCATTACAACGCTTTTTTAACGCGCCATGCATCAGAGCTCTAGCTTCTTCTCTCTGCTTTCCACAAAAGTAAAAAATATTCGTCCATTCTTTGAATAATCTTTTATGCTTTTCTAAAAAAAGAGAGAGAGAAAAAAAAAACGTCGTAGATATCACAATTCACGTTACCGTTGCAACTTGCAAATGATGAAGTACTAAAGAAGTGTTAACATGAATTGAACTGTAGTATGAATAAGTGCAATTTTTGTGTTCTATTGTAGGATGACTATGGTCTCACCTTATGGTTTCAATGAATTGTCAAGCAACAAATTAGCTGCAAATCAGAACTAGAGGAACACACATATAATGTGTTTTAGTAATGAGGATTTACTTACAAGTTATTTTGTATTTTGTGTTTTGGTGGGATCCTGACCCCCCCTGTTTCCTTGCACTTTCTTTGATGCTTTTAATTTGGCATCTTACCTTATCTCTGTTAGAGTATTACTTAAGTCCGCCCACGTTTTTTTGATTTATTTATTTGTTATTATAAAGTATCACATTTCAATCGTGTAAGCATGAATATTGAATATCATGAAGGAATCTTTACTACAGTTGCTTCAGCTTTTCCAATTTTGAATTTTCTAAAGAAATGACTTATTCTACATGTCGAGTACCTCATTGTTGACCAACAACTAACAACTAATTAATAAACGTACGTACGTGATTCACATATGGATTAATAGAGTAATAGTATATTATTCATTTTGTATTTCTACTCATTTGGGTGACACGTATCAACTTTAAAATCGTTGGAACTTGGAATTCGATACTATAAGGTATAATTAACATCTGTCATAAATCAAGTTATGGAGATGTGAAATAGGTAGATGCATTGAAATTTTACAAGTTTTAATGAATTGAATTAATAAAGTAATGAATGTGTTATTGATCCATCCAAATTAACTTGGGCTAGAAATTGAATTGAGTCATGATATTTATAGTTTGACCCGCTTAATTATACGTTGTTATAAATTAAAAACAACCACTATATTGTTATAAAATGAGAGCAAATAATATTCATATTCATTTACTTAAAAGAAGAAAGCAATAGCATAGAGATCAGAAAAAATAAGATTTTTTTCTTTTTTTTCCAAGTATTTTAAAAATATCTTCAAGTATATTTAAATGTCGGTAATATCTGCACAAAGGGCTGTGTTAGACAAATTCGACATTTCGGAGCTTACCGTAGTGACAAAATTCTCATCCAATCACATTTACCAAGAATGTTGATTAAGGTCAAACTTAAGCCTTAACTTGAAAATTAAAACGCCTAATCGCATTGAAAACCTTGGAAGTCATGTCGACCATGCTACTAGCCTAAAATTACCTTTACGGAACTAATGTAATTGTTAGAAATGGAGTATGGGGGTCATCTTCCTGACCTTTTGATCGAAAACGACCGTTCAAGGTTCAAAAGCTCCAAAATACATAATTTCGCATAAAAATCAAAAGAACAACCAAGTAACCGAGTTATTAGACCCAACAAGTCATAAAGTACTTGGGGTTGCTATAGCAACACTATAAACGATGAACAAAAGATATAAATACAAAAATGACCTGAATGGTCTTTTAAGTATAAGATCAATTTTCTAAATTTGAGGAAGTTAAAAAAAATATTTAAGCCTATAAAGAAAGATATTGCATTAAAGTGAATTGATTAATATATCTTTAATAGGAAGTACTTCGCCATTGCAATACGAAATAGGAGTAGTACATTCAAGTGTGTGTCTAATATTAAAACGCTCCACGCACGTTACGCTGTAAAAGCTCTAAATAGGGGTGTTCACGGGTTGGTTTGGATCGGTTATTGGTCAAAATCAAAACCAAACCAACTTAATCGGTTTTAAAATTATCAAAACCAAACCAAACCAAATATAATATACATTTATCGGTTTGGTTGTTTTCGGTTTTGGTTTGGTTTGGTTCGGTTATTCGGTTATTAACCATACATAAAATAAAAGAAACAATTCATTCAAAACGTGAAAAAAGTGACAACAATCCATTCCAACGAAAAAATAGTTAAAATGACTAGCATTACAGAACTTTGGATCATTGAATTTACTGATAAAACTTCAAAATTCACTATTTTGGCATAGAAGGAAGAGACAATGACATTTTCAATCCCACAATGAATTTCCATAGACACTCATATACATGAAACCAATAAGAAAAATGTTCTCACCTTGGACATTTTTTCTTTCACAAGTAAATTATAAATAAATTTTGATGAAACATATATAAAATCTTTAAAATTGTTTATGAATATAATATATTATGTATGTATAATAATAAAATTTATGTATATAACTTGTTGGTTCGGTTCGGTTATTTCTTCGATTTTTTTTTAACAAAACCATAACCAAACCAATGACTATCGGTTCTTAGCAATCTAAAACCAAACCAAATCAAAACTCAAATTAAATCGGTTTGGTTTGATTTTTCGGTTTGGATCGGTTTTTATCCAAACCATGAACACCCCTAGCTCTAAATGCATATTAATGCCCAATTTTTTAAATTTAATTTTGTCATAAGTTTAAATCTCCTTAATTGTACCTCCTCTCATGATACATTCCAATATATATATATTATTAATAGAGGCCATGAAAATCTTCAACGGTGTTCAATGGAAACCTTTAATGTATCAAAAATTTAACTTAAATACTCGGTATGAAACTAGATTTGAAGACGAGGATCCTCTCCATAACTTGTACAAGTACAAACAATTGAATTTAATAAATGAGGAGGTCAAACTGGATGATCAATATAGCCAACAATTGAAGCCGTATGGTTGTATTTATATAACTTTTTGTATACTTTAAAATAGCTATCTCAAAATATTATGTTAGAAAAGACAAAATCAAAATCTGAAAGGTGTTTTTGTAAGATTAAATACTTTAATAGATATCAGGATCTTGAACACGATAATCTTACATAAAGGTCGTTAGAGGTACATACCTGATGCGGAAGACATCAAGAAAAACGGAAGCGTTAGTCGTAAATTGGTTTCTACCTCTTTGACCTAACTTTATGTTACCACAACTGTCAGCGATGGAATTATTGTACATAATATGTGGTAACCCTAATGGGTGGAGGGAGGACCAATTTATAGATGTTATAACTTAATCTGATACGTCCATCAAGTAACCAATGTACGGACGAGATCTGTTCCTTATTAAATATTATTTATGATATTACTTGGGTTATACAAGTAAACTGGGCAATAAGTAAGAAATAATTAATAATAATTCTTACAGTTTTGGCCTGGTTATACTAATAATTATATGAAGGTACAAGAAAGTTATCTTGTAGAAAAGTTAAAGAACAGAAGAAACTTTCTATGTTTATGATAATGGCACATTGAAATATTTTTCTCTTAAATCTTTTTTTTTTTTTTTGGAGTATTAATTGTGGTAGTTTAATTTTTTAATATTAACATATGATAATTTCTTTGCAGAAAATATTTAAAATAAGTCAATTCAAACCAGCTCTAAATTGACATACAAGAAAGTTCTTTCCCTTAGTCTAAAGAGCACAACAAAAAAGTCATGAAGAGGGTTAAATTAATCCTTAAAATATTATGATATTGAGAACACCAAAAATGTTATGGATGGAAAATAAATTTTTGATCTTACTGTGGAGAACTCAACTACTAAATCAGTATCTAAGGTTTCATATGACAATCAACTAGAGAGTTAACTGCTGACTTGACTACTTTAAATTTATATACTCCGTATATCTTTTGTCCCAATTTATGTGACGTAAATTATAATAGTGGATGCGTACAATAATAACATAAGCAACTTTTGAAACTTTTTTGTTGTCGGTTATTTAAATTTTTTACTAAGTATAATTAATTATTGCCAAAAGTGAAATGCTCTAAAAAGTACTCTAGATCTAAGTGCAATTTACATCGGCTTGCATACAAAAGTGCAACCTATAGTTGGTTGGTATGTATATATATATATATATATATATATATATTAGAAGAGTGAGATCAAATATGGTATCAACATGGTAGCTTAATGTCATTTAAGTTCAAATTGAGGGTATTGTGGTATATATATATATATATATATATATATATATATATTAGAAGTGTGAGATCAAATATGGTATCAACATGGTAGCTTAATGTCATTTAAGTTCAAATTGAGGGTATTGTGGACTTTTCGCATACCCAAACACTACGTGGCTATTCCTGCTGAAACTAAACAGACACTTCACTCATCACACGTATCATCATCAAAACATTTTGACACTATCTTTCTCAATTGTTCATCTTGAGCTCTTCTTATATATATATATATATATATATATATATATATATATATATATATATATATATATTTATTAAAGAGAGAGAGAGTATCCAGGTTAACCTTTTTTTTTGTACCAAAGCATCATTTATCTCTTGTTGAGTTTTGGGTATTTTTTACTTGCTATGTGGATAAATAAAAGTTCAATTTCGATCAGTCTATTTTTGTTCATAAGCCCAATAATATGTGTATAACTCCTTTTTGGTCTTATTTTTAATAATTCACAAGAGAAAGATCAGCAACCAAATAGAGATAAAGTGAGAGAGTGCAAATTTTCTCTCAAGCAAACCATTTTCAAATCGCGCTATTCACTTCATTCCTTGTGTCCGATTGAGTTGATTTTTAGATATCTTCTTTCTTTCAGCCTAATCTTTGATTGGGAATTGATAGAGGTGGATTCGGAATCCTGTGGCTCCAAATTTTAGCTCACTATATTAGAAGTGTGAGATCAAATATGGTATCAACATGGTAGCTTAATGCCATTTAAGTTCAAATTGATGGGGGTATTGTGGACTTTTCGCATACCCAAACACTACGTGGCTATTCCTGCTGGAACTATACAGACACATCATTGATCACACGTATCATCATCTGAACACACACACATATATATATATATATATATATATAAAGAGAGAGAGTATCCATGTTAAACTTTTTTTTTACCAAAGCATCATCTATCTCTTGTTGAGTTTTGGGTCTTTTTTACTTGCTATGTAGATAAATAAAAGTTCGATTTTGACCAGTCTACTTTTGCTCATAAACCCAATAATATGGTATTTAACTCCTTTTAGGTCTTATTTTTAATAATTCACAAGAGAAAGACCAGCAACCAAATAGAGAGAAAAGTGAGAGAGTGTAGATTTTCTAAAAAGCCCTAGAAATCATTTTCAAATCGCGATATCCACTTCATTCCTTGTGTCTGATTGAGCGGATTTTTGGATATGTTCTTTCTTTCAACCTAATCTTTGATTA